GTGGTCTCCTTTTACACATGACAACTCTGGTTTTCAAATCTTCACTTCAAATTTGCCTCTTCTAGAGAGCTCTCTGAAACCAACCTCTCTAATGCCTTCAATAAAAATAATAAGAATGTTCATATAGCTATAGGTCAGGTTATAGGGTTATTCACTTTGTGTGGACTAAGAGAAGTATATTATAGTACTTTATATTCGTCACTCACCAATTTTCTCCACTACATTTAGAGGAACCACAACCCTAATTTGCTTAGTCTGACCTTAGCACAATTACAGTCTTGGCACCTAGCATATTCCTAATTCATGCTGTTAACTCAACCCATGATTATACTGCTACCCATTTGCAAACATCACTTAAAACAAGTCTGTGGCATTTTTGCCTTAGTCACTCCTATCATCTAGCCACTCACCCCTGGGTTAGGCTGTGTAGACTAGGTCCCGCTGTATCTCACCAATCATCATATCAGGCATCATATCCTATATCATATAATGTTCAGAACGTTGCCGGGTCAGAGGGAGGTGAGCAGGGGAGCCAGCTGTCGCAGGGGTGACCATCCAGCTGCCTGCATATGGGATGAGTGATCTCAAATAGCAGAAACAGAGGTGATGGGGGCAGAAGCATGTCCACCCGACACAGGATACCATCCTCAGGGGCTCCATGCCTCCTTTGCCAAGGTCAGGCGTGTGCAGATGATATGGGGGAGCAGCTGACTCATGTTCATCGAGCAATGGGAATGGGAGCTGAATCCCCTCTCTGTGACCTTAGGAAGTGTATTTCACCTTGCCAACTCTGCTTTCCTCATCTGCATTTGGAAACTTGATGTATCTACATTCAATCATGATTTCTTATGTTTGATGCATAGGGCAGCAGAACACACTGCAGCTTGCACCATCCTGGAGGCTGCCACGTAGCCTTATTTTGAAGCAGAACTGAGTTTTAGGTATTAAGGGCCTAAACATGCGCATAATGATTTCACTCCACTTTTAGTGATATTGTTAAGTATTTGCATTCAGGGATATTATTTGAAACTTTATATATAACAATGACAACGTAAAATTAACCTAAATCCAACTATGCATGATTGTCCAAATTATGATCTATCCATGTGATAGGATATTATACAGCCATTTGAACTCTTACAAAGAAAAGTTAATAGCATTAGAAAATGCTCACAAAATAAAGCACCCAAATAAACACACTACATAATTTTGTTATGTGTATAAAATATATAAGAATATATTCTGGATGACAGTGTTGATTATAAGTGATTTTAAAATTATTTTCTCTATGTTCTATATGTTTCAATTGTTATAAGTCAGCAGAAAAGGAAAAAAAAAAGTCTTATTTTTAAAAAATCTTGAACTGGAATCTGAGGGTCTGGGTTTGAGTCCTGGTTTCAATATAGGCTGTGTGACCTTGAGTAAGAGAAGTTTACAAAGTGGGGGAAACTTGCCTCCCCTTTCTTATTGGATGGGTGAGCAGCTAAAATAAGATGATGTGCAGGAAATAGCCATGCGGAAGAAAAATGGCAAATAGAAGGGCCATCGAGCCTGTGAATTAGATGAAGAAACAAGAAGCTATTCTTTTTTTTTTACATTTTTATTTTTTATTTTTTTATTCTTATGTTAATCCCCATACATTACATCATTAGTTTTAGATGTAGTGTTCCATGATTCATTGTTTGTGCATAACACCCAGTGCTCCATGCAGAATGTGCCCTCCTCAATACCCACCACCAGGCTAACCCATCCTCCCACCCCCCTCCCCTCTAGAACCCTCAGTTTGTTTTTCAGAGTCCATCATCTCTCATGGTTCGCCTACCCCTCCGATTTCCCCCGCTTCATTCTTCCCCTCCTGCTACCTTCTTCTTCTTCTTCTTTTTTTTTTTCTTAACATATATTGCATTATTTGTTTCAGAGGTACAGATCTGAGATTCAACAGTCTTGCACAATTCACAGCGCTTACCAGAGCACATACCCTCCCCAGTGTCTATCACCCAGTCACCCCATCCCTCCCACCCCACCCAAGAAGCTATTCTTATAAGAAATGTTGGTGCTGATAGATTTCAAGTTGCCATTGTCTTCTTCAACCCTACTTTAAAATAGACAAAAAAGAAAGAGACAGAGAGAAAAAGAGAGAAGAAGGGAAGGAGGGAGGAGGGGAAGGAGGGGAGGTGGGAAGGAGGGAGAGAGGGAGGGGAGGGGAAAAGGAGGAAGGTTGGGGGAGACAGTGTATTTCCCGTCTTCAACCAAGGGGCAGGGGCCATTCCCCCTCCTGGGATGCCCAAGAAGACATCAGCATTCGTTGCAAATGATGTGACACCCAGGACAGCCACTTTGAAATGTGTTTGCAATATTTACTTAACTGCAAAAGGTGAATGCCCTAAGATGCAACAATCCTACTTTGCTGCAGTGACTCTGGGGAGATATTTGCACATGCGCATGAGATGGCTGTGCATTCTTTTTAGGTTCTGCACCACATAGACTGGGCACACTATAATAATACTCAGACACTATTGCTCTTATAGTTGAGCTGAAATGAAGTGAATGAATATGTACGGACATGAAAAATCTCCAAGAGGTTGTTTTTTTTTTTTTTTTAGATAACCAAACTGACAGAGTGTAGACCACGAAACCATCTATATAAAGATAACTTGAAACATCACATTTCTAATTTCTGTGGATGTATAAAGGCATAGTAAGCTTGGAATGCTTCAGACCAATTTGACAATAGTGGTTAGATCTGGGGCTAGGAGGGACATGTAGAGGGAAAAATGTACTTTACCTATATTTAAGTTGGTTTTTCAAAAACAGTATGTTCATATATTACCTGTGCAATTAAAATTAACTTAAAAGTAAAGTTAAGGGGCGCCTGGGTGGCTCAGTTGTTAAGCGTCTGCCTTCGGCTCAGGTCATGATCCCAGGGTCCTGGGATCGAGCCCTGCATCGGGCTCCCTGCTCGGCAGGAGGCCTGTTTCTCCCTTTCCCACTCCCCCTGTTGGTGTTCCTGCTCTCGCTATCTCTTTCTGTCAAATAAATAAATAAAATCTTAAAAAAAAAAAAAGTAAAGTTAAAATAGCTGACAAAAATAATTACAGGTAGTTGTTAATTGAACAAATAAATATACCATGGACAACTGCAACCAGGTTTTCCTTGTTGGAGAACAGGGTTATAAAATTGGAAAGGGGAGGTGGAGATATACTTGTGTTTGATTGGAGTTGAAGGTATAAGTATGAACTCATGGTTTTAAAAAAGGACAGAGGGGGGGAAGGGAGGGAAGAGATGGAGGGGGAGAGAGAAAGGGAGAGAGATGTCATACATATACATACAGAGAGCCTAGAAACAATGACATCCCAGTGGCAATGAGCACACCTAGCATCCAGATCTTGGTTTCTATATGCCATTCTCCACCAAAAGGAAACACAGCACCTTAAAGAAATGGCTGATTCTGGGTCTGGGACAGGGAAAATACAAGATGAGCCTTAGAATACCTTCTTGTGCCAAAAAGGAAGGAAATGTTCAGAGAACAATGCGGACACGTCAAAAGGACAAAGAAATCAGTTTGAAAGGATTCCCACTCGTCACATCTGAGACCATTCTAGCGTTAAAATTAATAATGATAGAGAACCATAAGACATTGGATGCAACAAAAATCCATGAGTTACATTGGTATAAGGAAAAGTGGGTGAAAGCTCTTCCTTAGAGTAGAAAGACAGTTAATGTAGAAAGAATAATAGAATCAGGAAAAGTACCTTCAGGTAACCTTCCACACAATAATAACTGAATCAACCAAGAATCATCAACAGATGCCAAAATAAGTGGATGAACATTTGAGGGGTAACTGGATATTCACATAGTCTCAAAATATCTCCCCATAAGCTACTTACTAATTACAAAGGGAAGAGTGTAACTTAAGTATGGAGACACCCCTCAACACCGCTATAACTGAGGGGTCCAGGTCAGCATGGCCGACCCAGGACAAACCCACATCCTGCGCCGCCCGATAGGACCCACCGAGAAGAACAAAGCACCTGCGGTGGTATTTCTGCCCATAATGCATTACCTGAACCCAATCCTAACAAAACATCAGACAAACCCAAACTGAGGACATTCTGCAAAGTAACCCGCCTGCGGCATGAACACAAAAGAAGCTTGAGGCACGGCTTCCCTGTTAAAGGAGGCCGGACGCACGTGAGAACTAAGGACAGCACATGTTCTGGAGTTTTCTTTCTCTGTAAAGGACATTATTCAGCTAATTGGCCAAATCGGAACAAAACCTGTGGATTAGGTAAGGGGCGTTGTATGGATTTCAATTTCCTGATGTTTGTTTATTTGCGGATTCCTGTGGTCACACAAGTGAATGTCCTTGTTTGTAGAACATCCATGCTGAAGTATTTAGGGGGTAAAAGAGCATCGTGTCTGCAATTCATTCTCAAATGGTTCAGAGAAGTCAGAATGCACGTGCGTGCACATAATTACAGTGTGTGAGAGAGAGACAGGAATGAGAGGAAGAGAGAGGGAAAAAGAGAGAGGGGGATAAATCCGGGAAAATGCGAACAATTGAGGCATTCTTGCAACTCTTCTGTAAGCCTGAAATTACAAACTTAAAAGGAAACTTTAAAGGGAAAAGGAGTTAGACAAAATAACTTGCAGCAGACAACCAAGGTCTCCGACCCATAGGCAGGGTCAAAACTCACTCAGCCAATGCTGCAGGGAGGCTGAATAAACAGAATGCTTGAGAATCTGGGTCCAAATCTGGCCGAGGGAGAGGCGATAGAGAGTAAGACCTCTCAAAGTCTCGGTTTCAAAAATAGGACTATTCATCCTGAATTGTGGGGGCGTTGGGGCCACAGAACGACACAGTACCTGAGCAGGTGACACTGAGCCACGTTCCCCGAACTTGCTCGGTGCATATGAGGCATGCCCAGTCCCTGCTCTCGGCACCCCCGCAGTCCATCCCTGAAATATGATGGAGATGAAGTCCCCCGAATGCCTAAGAAACAAAGAAAAAGCACAACGGAGGTCACTAGCCTCTGCCCAAGAAGGCCAGTCAGTGTCCCATTTGATTGTAGAGAGCTTTTTCATGAATAAAGTTAAAATTTGTAAACCACCCCAAGTGCTTCACTTGTCTGAAAAATGCTTTGTCCCCACCAGAGGATGTGGGGAAAGAGGTCACTTATTTAAAGAAACAGGCTATCGTGATCAAAGTCTGAACGTCTCGGGCCTCCCCCGGGCCTTTGGATGGAACTCGGGGAAACTGAGAAGTGAAATCAGGAGGAGCCCAGGCTGCTGCAGCCATTGGCACTAGGGGGCAGGCCAGCGGGTTCGCTGCCCGGCAGGGGCCAGCTGAGCGGGGACCCGGGCACAGACAGCAGGACGGCGAGCTTTGCACACACGGAAACACACACTCCACTGCACCGTGCGTATACGCACATGCACGCACACCGATGACAGGTGTGCATGCATGTGTGTGTGTGCGTGCGCACGCGTGTGTGAACAGGGAAAGTTGATCCACAGAAATAGAATACAGAAAAATCAAAGTACTTTAAATGCTCAGGCAGTTTAACTGTTTCTTTCCATGGCAGGAAAATTTTCAGTGTTTGCAGAACCCCGAAAACGCCCCCGCAGAGCCCTGCTGTCCTCAGCACAGAGTCAGAACACCCACGGGGCAGGATAGAGGGAGGACCCAGAGGTGGGGTCAGGCAGCCTGCTGCCCCTTGCTCTGGCCTTGTGACTCTGGCCAGGTACTTAAACTCCGGAGCCCCAGCATCCTCCTGGGTAAAATAAAGACAGCAGCACCCATGTCCACGTGCCATTGTGCAGATCACAGGTAACATGCAGCATCCCGGAAGATGCCCCATGGTCAGTCAGAGCAGTGATGGTGATTATCGTTACCATCTGCTTCTCAGGCAAGAGCACCCAGAAAACATCCTCCCTGGAGCCTGCTTCCCTTGGTCTCAGAGAGGAGAACGGGGTCACTACGGATGCACGACCTCCCATGCTGCACGCACTGGGCGCCCGGCTCTTGTTGCGGGAATGCATGGACGAGCACACCACAGTTTTTGGAAAGCTTCAAGGCACTGGAGGAAATTCTTCTAAGTTCTCTTAAAAATAGTTTTTCAAATGCATCTGTGAGCGTGGAACTCCTCCCGTACCTGCAGCAGACATTGTATTACCCTTGAGTCTAAATCATCTTTTCCGTTTTCCTTGCAGAAATCTTCCCTGACAGCCAACAGAACGTATTCTTCTTCTAATTGTTGATTTACCTTTCACAAACGCCGGTGGATCTCCCCATCTCTAATCCTCTACGCTCATTCATTAGCTATCAAGTGCGGCTTTTTGGAACAATTATGCTGTGCCCCACTGTCAGCTCCTTGTGCAGGTAGAGGATACATCCTGACTCCTTGCACAGGACGTAAATTATTGCTGGCACACTAGTACCTGAAGAATGATTACACCCAGCGCACAGCTAAATAATGGATGCTTAGCACGGTGCATTGTAATAAGCAAAAGATATGAAATATCTACTATTCTAAGTGGAATATGCTAAGTATTTTTTTTAATAATAAAACCGTTTGGGGGAAGACAGGCTATTGAATCATGGTCCCCGGAAGAGACACCCCATGCGTCAGCTCTTTTGCAGCATCTGGCGAGCACTGTCACCTCATCTGTGAAATGGGAACAGTAGTTACACCCTTCCTTGTGCAGAGGTGTTGCAGGTGAAGGCTTAGCACCGAGCCCGGCGCATAGTAGGTGCTCAGTAAATGGCCGTAGCTGCTGTAGTCTGAGGAGTGGGCTGGCCTGTGGGGGGACCAGCTGGAGCACCTGTTACCTGGGCATCGGGTTCAGCGTGTGACCACAGGGAGAGACCGACACTTCCCCTTCCACTAGTCAGCTGAAGGCAGGATCTGCTTTGCCACCAAATATGGGGGAAGGTTCTGGAGCACTGGGAAGAAATGGAGTGGGGATGACACTTGAAGCCCTCTCTCTCCTTGTGAAGCCCAGAAGAAATGGAGTTTCTGGCACAATACAGTGCTCAGACCTGGGCGGCTGGGGCCCCTCCCCTGGGCCCTGTGCTTCAGAGGGCCCTTCCCTGAGCCTCACCACATGGCCACCTCGAGCCTGCACCCTCCCTGTCCTGGAGCATACGCCTGGAACTGGGACCCCGGCGTCCTTGCTGCATGGCATTGAACCCTCATCCAGGGCTTACAGAGTCCTCACCCCCGGGCCCGTGCTCCTGAGCATCAAGCATGCCACCGGTGTGCACTGAGCCCCGGGGAGGTGAAGTGCAGACACTAGATGCCACTGGGACGAGTTACCTGGGATGGTCACAAACACACAGTGGGGGGGGCGGGGGCGGGGAGGCAGGCAATGGGGAGGCCCTGCTGCAGCTCCATGGAGACCTGTACTGAGCTGAGGGCGAGGGACACATCCAGAAGGTGGCCGATGCAGAGGGCTTCGGGGTGTGCAGTGCTACTCCAGGCCAGACGAGGCACCGGGTGCTTTGGACACGTTTTCTCACTCATTCCCCTCCGACGACCGTGGATTGGGGTTAAGAGCGTGGACTCCAGGGCTGTGCAGCCTGGGTTTAAGTCCTGCTCGGCCTTTGCCCTAGCTCCTGACCTCGACAGTTAATGCCTCTGTATTGCAGCTTCTCCATCTACAAAATAGGAAGAAGCCAGTTACTAGTTCGTGGAGCTGCCGGGGGTGAAGGAGAGAAGTACCAGCCGCCAGCTTAGCTGCGGTCACGCTCCAACATGTTTTATCCCCCTTATTGTTGAGCCCACTTTACAGAAAATCAAGCGAGACTCAGAGATTCACTGACTCTCTGGGAAGCAAGAGAAGTGGTCCTTCTACTTCCAGAACTGCTCCTCATTCTGCCCTCTCCCCCTGAGACATGAGTGCCAGGTCCTTGGCACCTCTCCAGGGGACACGTCTTTGGCCCTCCAGACTAGCTCATGAGGTGTTCCAGATGGTGCTGAGAGAGACAAAGTCCTCCCTGCTCTCACTCCTGCTGGGCAGGTGAGCAGGGGCTGACACAGAGGCAGGGCTGACACACTGAGCACAGCTGGCTCCTCAGGCTCTAGAACCTTCTGGAGCCCCCCCCCCCCCCCCCACTGCACTCTCCCACCCACTGCAGCACTGACGCTGGAGCTCAAGTCCGTCCACATGGCTTCTCACCAGCACTCCGTTCAGAGCGTGCCCTGGACACAGCCCACCGCGGTCCTCGGAGGAGGCTGGAGTGCTGTGGATTCCTCCGGCGCTTGAGGCTGGCGACTCCCCTTCTGCCTCCCGAAACACCCCTGGGCACCGGGCGCATAGTAGGGCGCTGTGCTGCTGGGGAGCCTGCAGAGGTTTCTGACGCCTCCAAGCCTCAGTGTCTGCATGAGCTTCCAGAGGCCACAAGTTGCCAGAAACTCGGTGCCTTCAAACAATAGAAATCTAATCTTCCACAGTTCGGGAGACTAGACGGAGGAAGGCAAGGTGTGGGCAGGGTCGTGCCTTCTCGGGAGGGTCTAGGGGAGGATTTGTGTCTTGCCCCGTCTAGCTTCTGGTAGCTGCTGGCTTTCCTGGGCTTGTAGGCACGTCACTCCAAGCTCTGCCTTTGGCTTCACACTGCTGTCTCCTCTCTGTGCCTCTTACAAGGACACTTGTCATTGGAGTCAGGGCCCATAGAATAATCTGGGGAGGGTGGTCCCTTTATCTCAAGACCCTCAACTTACTTATATGTGCAGAGACCCTTTTTTCCCCAAATAAAAATTACAAGTGCCAGGGATTGGGATGTGGATATATCATTGGGGACCACCATTCAGCACACTACGGTGTCTTCATCTATAAAGCAGGCGCAACATTGTATCAGCCTCACAGCTTTGGGGTGGGGATTCTACAACATAATGTATATTAGACAAGCGGTTACAATTCTAGCCGTATTTACTATAGTCTCTCTGCACACAACAAAACCTGTAGGTGAAAATATAGTCGGTGGATCTTCACAGAGTCCTAGTGCACTTTACATGTTTACTTGTTTAGTTGAACAGAAGCAATCCTTAAATGTCGTTTGCAAACTCGGGGTAAGGACGTTCATGAGAGGCAGGGGTCCCCCTACAGGTCCCAGCACAAGGAGTTCCCCAGGGGCGGGGAGAAGTATGGCCACTAGAGAGGCTTCGCTATCATTCGTGGGCTGCCTCCATCAGACTGGCAACATACGCGGATGGGATATAACAGCTGAGGTTTACAAAACACACATGCACTTTTGGAGGACAACCTGGCAGTGCATCAACACTTCAAATGCATGTCCCTTTGTTCCAGCTCAGCCCCCGTCAGGGAAGTGTCCTGCAGGAAGAAGAGCAGGCCGGTGCAGAGATACGTGTCCAAGGATGTTTGCTGGGGTGCTGCTCGTAATTGCGGGGCGGCGGGGGGCGGGGTGGCAGGATGGGGAGAGCCAGTGAGAGAGCAGGCAGGGAGAAAGGGAGGAGAGGAATAAAAGAAAGGAAAACTGCAGGAATGTCCTCTGTGGAGGAATGGCTGAATGCTCAAAGATGCCCCCAAACTCCATGCTTCTCTGCAGGGCTTAAGGGGTGAGGCCCTGAGAAGGTGAATCATCAACACGGGCCAAGTGATCACACCCTTACACGAAACGAGAGTCCAAGCAAGTGGCCTCGTGCACACATAAGCATAGTGTGATGATGCACTCTAGATCCACAAGTGTGTGCAAGGGCCTGGCAGCTCACCAATCTGCCTTCGAGCTGCGGCCCCCGCTGGGAAGAAATGGGGGTGGAGAGGGGTTTTAACTTTCTATTTCTGCCAAGCATCGATATTTCCCAGCAAGGATGGCAAGAGAGCTTACCAGCGTAATCACAAAATTACCCAGATTTGCAGGCAATTCATCTGTTCGGCTGCACAGGACCTGGAGGCTCAGAGGGGACAGCCGGAGGTGACTGAAGCAGAGGGAGCCCCTGCCCTTCTCTGAATGCCACTCCTAGACCCCCAATCCGTAGCACAAGGGGGCTCAGGAGGTGGCCCCCTCGCTAATTCTCCTGTAGGGGTTTGGGGACTTTGCCAGGCAGGTCCTGGGCAGCTGGTGGATCTTGACTGGGAGACTGAGTCACCCACCAGGAGACCCGTGAGGACCAACAGAGGGCTGCAAGGCCATGCCTGCTTGGGGGGTGTGCTTGGCTCCAGGGCCCCGTGCTCAAGGGTGCGCTCCCCTCCGGCCAGGACACAACGAGGCCTGAGGAGGAGGCAGGAGTGAATCACCACAAAGCTATGCCAACAGGTGCAGTGAAACCATGATACGCTGGGAACAGAGCCGGCGGGGCCGCTCAGTGCCAATCCCCGGGGAGGCTCGCTCCCTCCCAGAGTGGCCGAGGGCTGGCCTTCTATTTTGTATTTCCGAGGCTTTGTTTCTCCACAATGGAAGCATTTCTGAGCTCCTGTCTTTGTAAACAGATACTGCTCAGCAAGGCGGGTGATTCCCAGGCTGTCTCGGCTCTCTGCTTTCTCGTATTTGGGAGGAGTAGCCTTCAAGTTCTAGCTGTTGCCCCATGTTGCCGTGTGACACACGGGGGCTAAGTCACCTGCCTGGGCTCTGACCCGTTCCGTGCAGCCTTGGTCAAAGAGGCTGGCCCACCTCCCAGGACTGCTGGAGGCAAGAGTTCTCCAAAAGGCACACTTGAATCTGCTTACTCCTGCCAGAGAGCCAGTGGGGGACGGGGGTCCCTCCAGGCAGGAGGGCAGCTTAAATTTGAGTCTGCCAGGAAGGACTATGGAGTCTAAGAGCCAGCAGTCATGGTGGGCCACACCTGGATTAGGAGGGCACAGGGCAGGTGGCTCAGCAGGAGGGGCCGAGGGAGCTTCCAATGGGGGGAGATGGGTGTTGGCCCAATTGTCTCCTAACGAGGGAAAGTCTGGGTTTCCTCTCCTGAGGCAGGGCCTGGGGCTTTCTGGAAAAAAGATAAAGAAGGTCTGCTCTGTGGTGCCATGTTTTTCTGGCACTCTAGGGACTGGAAAAGGGGAAATGAAGGAGATGAAATTTCAGCCATCCAGACGCAGTTGGGGAACCCTGACCAAATGTCCCAGCCCTTGCTGAGCTCCCCTCCACCCTCAGCAGGGGCTGGTGGTTCATCCAAATAGCACACATCTGGGGTGAGGGCTGGCGCCAGGGAAACGCGTCCCCGAGGCTGGGAGGGCCCCACCGATCTGTTGCTCTGAAACCCCAGCTGCTATGGGAGCAGGAGGAGCCTGGATCCCCCAGATCCCCAGGCCCTGCTCATCACTCACCATGCTGCAGAAACGTGGTGTCTCCAGAACAAGTTCGCTGCTGGCCTGGGGGACTCGTGTCTCCCCTGAGGTCACGTCTGGGCCTATTTGCAAGTCACTGCCCCCACTGCAGAGAGCTGTGCCCTTTCTTGGAGGCATGGCAGGACCACGGGGCTGACGTGTCCACACTTGCCACTCACATCACCCACCACAGCACCTGTCACCACCGCCGCTCCCTCATGGTGCTGTGCGGTCTGAGCCGGGGCCTCAGTCACCCACGAGCTCCCGGCGTCCGGGGTGTCAGCGCACCCTCCGACGGGAATGGTGGCAGAGGAACTCTGTGTCCTTCCTCTGGTGCACGGGGAGTTCCTTCTCCTTAGGAATCCAGGGGCAGATTGCTGCATCTGAGGGCGGTGCCTGGGTCCAGCCCCAACACCTAGGAGAAGCGGGTACCCACCGCCCTGGAGTAGGCGCGTTGCACCCGGCGGCGGCAGGGGCTGGTGCTGAGATGAGTGAGGCCATCCCTCCTCCGTTCACAGCTTTAGGAAGAGGTCTCAGCTTGGACCCAGGTGCCAGGAGATGAGATCGCCCAGGGCAGGAAGTGACAGCCCATCGGAGCATGGGTGGGGTACAGGGGCTGGGGGAGGAGAGCCGAGGGGCAGCTCCAGATTCAGGGGCACCCAGATCTGGCTAGGCGGCCATTCTCTACCACCCCTGGCATGGGGTCTGACCCTGCCGTTCAGCATCCTAGAGGCTCAGCTCCTCCTCCCGTGAAATAAAGTAGCTCCCACCTCATCGGCTTGTTGAGGGACGGCGAGAGTAACAGGTGTAGAGGGGGTCGCCCGGGGCCTGGCTCCCGCAAACTCGGCACAGCAGCAGCTTTGCTGTTAGGTCCTCGCTGCATGGGGAAGAATCCCTTTACAGCTCAGAGCCATCTACACACGTGTCTTCCGCACACATGCTCGCCACCTTTGCCAGGTGCCAGAAAGAGAAAGACTCAGCCCCCAGGTGCTCTCGGGCTAGGGTAGAGACTTACCTGTAAGCAGATTGCAACACAGAGTAGCGACAGATGTTTGCCCTGGGGGCCTCAGGAGTGAGTGATTGTGCCTGGGGGTGCCCCAGGGGCATTGAGGCGGCATCACTCGGAGGCTGTAACAGACACAGCAAGCAGGTACCAAGCTTGTTCTTTTTTTTTCTTTAACTAGACATTCCTTCATTCTCCATTCATTCACCATTTCTTGATTATCTCCTATGTGCCAGGCACAGAGAAGGTCCCCAGGATAGAGACAGCTCCCATTCAGAGGAAGTAACATTACCTAAGGGACAGAGGCTTCCCTGGCCCAGAGTCGCCTGCAGTCTTCTGCCCTCTCAGCACCATGACAGCCCCGAGGTGCTGCGGGGTAAGTCGAGGTAACCTCCCACTGGACTATGGCCCTGCTCCAGCCAACGGTCCTGCCCAGAGCCCCCAGCTCAGTGCAGGACACAGGGCGGATGCTCAGTAAACACATGTTGACTGCCGTGTCAGCTGAGTCTGCTGGGAGGGAGGGCACGTGGCCTTTGGTGTGGGGAGTGCTCCAGGGAGGGCAGGGGTCAACGGTTTCAGGAAGCACTAGTAAGAGAGCCCAAGGTGGCTACCCAGACCCCGACATGCGGATGGACTGCAGACAGGCGTGCCCTCGGGAGGAAGGACACTGAGCAGAGGAAGGGGTACAAGGCAAGGCACAGAGGTATCCAAAGGCATGCGCTATTCAGGGCAGCTGGGAAGAAGTAAAAGGTACTGGAGGGGCTGCGTGCTACGAAGCCAAGACCAGACACGGGATAGCTGGCTCAGCAAACCCAGCCGGCACGCATCGAGCGGTGCCCACCCCCTTTGATGCCTTAGCCAGGGTACCTCTGAAGGCAGACCTGAGGCCATGTTGCGTATGTGAGTACTTTCTGTGGGAACATTACCCTGGGAGCAGAGCTGAAGGACTGGGGAGCAGAAAAGGCAGAGGCACTTACAGGTGCATAATCCAATTGGCCAGTGCTGTGGGCGATGGGAGATCCATCCCATGACGGTCAGAGTGGCCCTACGAGCAGCTAACGTACTGCAGAGCAAGACTGCTGGGGACCGAGTGCCAAGCAAGTTCTGTGGGGTCACAAGCAGCTGCATCCAGATACCTCAGGGCAGGAAGCAAGGGGCCCGGGGTAAGTCCTGGTCAGGCTGCTCCCAGGCGGACCTGGTCAGTGCCTGTGCAGAGCAGTCCAAAGGATGGCTGGAGTGTGTGCTGGGGCAGAGAGCTCGAAGCAGTGCATGCAAGGTGCTACCATCCGCGGTTCAGAGAAAAGCAAGAGCCGACAGTCCCAGCTGTGTGCCATGGGCCTTTGCCTTGGACTAGATTTCCCAGACTCTGGGCCAAGGATTTAGGGCAAGCAGCTGACTTGGGAAGGTGCAGGGAAGACAGGTCAGGTTTCGGGGAGGGAATGCACACAGTCATGGGTGCGTTAATGGGGGCAACCAACAAAGTGGGCATACCGGGAGCCTGATCCCATGGGAAGACTCGGGAAGACACATCTCAGATTTGTCCTTCTCAGCGGTGAGGAGTAGGGACATTGCCACACCACTTTCTGTCAGTCACTGGCTGGGACCCGCATCCAGGGATCCAGGGATCTCTGGCATTTGGGCCAGAGATTGGGAAAGAGTAGCTCTCTGGACAAAGAGAACTTTGGACAAAGTTCTCAGGCACAGAAATGCAGATTCCAAATGTTCTGTCCAATAATGCCCTTGTCCCAGCCCTCACCCCCAGGGCACCAGAAATGGACAACAGCCTCTCGTGCTGGCCAGGACCGGCCACCTTGCAAATGTCTGCCCAGAGTCCTGAGACAGAAAGCGATCGCTTCAGTTCAGCAAACATTATATGTCTGTCTCTGTTCCACTTCGGTTTCCTCTGTGGCCGGCATCACCCTCCCAGGCAAGAGATTATATATTTATTAGCTTATTGGATTAGGGTTGGTCTCCCCCAGTGACATGTTAAGTCCCCCAAGGACAGGGACTCGATCTAACCCAGGAGGCATCTCACGTGCCTAGAACCGTGCCCGGCACATGGAAGATGCTCGGCGGTATTTTCGGATTAAAGGCAGGAAGGACCAATGTATGAGACTCAGAGAGCCTAGCCTTCCATCCGTTTAGTCTCCCGGGCAGAAAAGCAGGCCCCTAGCCACACATTAAAACAAGCGGCCCCTCTAGTGTCCCCGGGGGGAGGGTGTCTTGCGCTGGGCTTCCCGTGGCCAGGGCTCATCACCCAGCAGGGGATTCCTCTGGGCACCGTCACGGCCATTTCCAGGCGGGTGGGTGTCCTCTGCGAGTCCCTGCAGTACTCAGCTCCCTGCCCCGTCCCACCTCCGGCATCTACCCCGGGACCGACGGCCTCCCTTACGCACGGTCTTCCGTGTAAAGTCACGGCAGTATTCAAAAGGTTAAAGCAGAGTGAACTGTTAATTTTAATGCTTTCTCTAAGCTTCAGTTTTAATAAGCGAAAATGATGTTCTTATTTGCAGTAAAGTGGTGTTATAAAATTCTGTCTGTCAAGCTCATTTTAAAACCATGGAAATAAATGATCTGACAAAATCAGGCTATTAGACAAGTGAGGAAGAGTGATTTCCATAAAAGTAGAGGAGCTGTTCCTTAATTTCACACTTGGTAGTCTTTTGGGTCGACTAAATTTTTAAATAAGTGATAAAATTATATTAGCGCAATTGCATTTTTATAGATTTTTTTGGTCATTGTACTCTTTTTCAATCCCTTTATTTTAACTCAAACTGTTCTGCTGAAAGGTTAGTCTCAACTTATGTTAGCTCGTAACGGTCTGTCCGCACGCCCGCACTCTCGCACGCAGTCCCGGCGGGGTCTGGCGGGGTCTGGCAGGCGCGCACCGCTCACGGCTGGAAATGGCCGCTTCCTGCTGGACACGTGGGGCGGTGGCCCCTAGGTCCGTAGGAGGGCGAGGGGGATGCCGAGAGTACCCACCAGGGTCGGGAGCGTGCCTGCCCCTGGCTTCTGAGCTCACTCGGTTTTTGCTCAGGATAAGGAAGAAAACCAGGAGAACATGTTCTCCAGAAACCCTCGTTCTTGCAACTCAGGACGCTGGGTGGGGACAGGACTGGTCAGTGTTTGCACTAGAAGCTGGGAACTTAGGCAGGGAGACGGAAGGGAGCACATCTATGATGCTTCATGTGTCTCCTACCAAGCCCACCAGACCCCTTCAAATCATCAGATAGCCAGGACCGGGCTCAGTGTTCTGTCTCAGGCATTGGGAGAACCCTCAGGCGAGGCCCAGAACTCAGGTCTCCCTTGGGACTGAAACAGGCCCAGTCAGCCAGATTGGGTCCGGCTGGGGGAGAAGAGGGGACGACTCTCTGATCTGATTTTTAATAATTAGAACAGCATGGAAGGTATGGGGCTTTGGCATATCGTCTGCCCTGGCCTGTGCTCATTTCCCAGTTCTAAATGTTGAGAGCACAGACTTTTGCCCCCTGCAGACCAGGCTTACCAGCCTCTGCATTCTTTCAGGAGCAGAGCTCGGGGGCTGGGGCCCCCTGCTCTTTGCCCCAGGTGCTCATGCCCAGTTCTGAGACCCAGCAACTCCTCCCCTCCCCCATCCCACCAAGCCTGGGTTCCTCTCTTGTCCTCCCCAGGCTGAGCCCCTGTCTGGGTCACGGTCACACTCACCAGCCTCGTCCACGTCCGATTCATCTCTTGCAATGGTTTCTCTTGGACGTCAACTACGGACAGGCAGTCAGACGACACTACATAAAGGTCCAGCCATTGGCTGCCCCCTCCCCATCCGTGGGTAGGTCTGCATTAGGAGTCTGTGGCCGAACCCGAAGCTCAGAACTCAGCCTCAGCACCTAGCTGGCCTCTGGGTGCATCCTCCCAGCACGTGTTCATCTCCGGGCAGCCCAGTGCGGCAGTTTGTAGAAACGTGCATTCATTTCCAGGTAGCCCTTCTTCCAGGAGGAAAATGAGCCTCTGTCTCATTAAAAGAGGGAGAACACACATTTGCGGAGCCTCTCCTGTGGACCAGGCACCGTGCTGGGTGAGAATGCGGACCCGCTGTCTATTTTGCTGTGAGGGGTGTGGCGCTCACCTGGAAAACACAGCTCTTAGAACAAAGGAGTACATTGCTCCAGGGAAGGAATGGCCTTTTGAGAGGCTGGCTGTGAGAGCCCCCACTGAGGAGACAGTGAGCTGGGGAATCAATTCAGCCCATGCATTTTTTCATTAATTAAGCAAATGTTTAGTGGGTGCTTTCCGTGTGCCAGGACTCCCCCAGCCTTGGCACTGCCTGGGGGGGGGGGGGGCGGTGTGCAGGCTGTCACGAAGTGGCCAGAAGTGCATGCCCTCCGCCAGCCACCCAACATCTGTCTGACATCCAAGAGAGCATCTTCTGAGCCCAGAAGTCAAGCTTGCCTTCTCCAAGGAGGCTCCGAGAGGCAACGGCGTCGGAGCGCGGGGGAACGGTAAGTCCGAAGTGTTTCCTGGGAAAGAGGAGGAAGTGCCGGTGAAGCACAGCCTGCAGGGTGGCCGTGGAGGGGCAGGGCTGTCTCTCCCTAGGAAGGAAGAAAGAAGAAGTCCAAATTAGTCATGTTGTATTACTTCTTTTTATGGCAATGCTCTGAAAGTCTGCAAATGTCAGCATGTTAATTTACTGTCACTCAGTGATATTATTTCATCCTTTCAAAAATGTGTTTCTTGCATTTTCAGTAGCATACTCCAAGTGTTCTCCATCTCAAAGTTTCTATAGATAGTGCGACTACTTTCACTCTGACCGGTGCCAAAATGTAGAAATTCATCGCTGGCTGTAGCCACATATATGTTACGAGTGGAGTCGGGGACTCGGGTTTCCTGCTTGCAGAGCCCGGGGGAGAGGTCTGATTTTTCTCTCTGTTCTCCTTCTACCACCCCTCGTCCTCCTAAAATGCTCTGGGGTTTCTCTCTCAAGGAACGCGCCGAGATAAATCGAATAGAGAGAAATTTTAAGGAATCAGTCATGGCTGGGTTTGTATATTGAAGCCTGAGCCCTCCCCGTCTCCAGACGCAGCCCACCCCCCACCCGGCTGCTTCTCCTATGGTGGCAAACTTATTTCAAAAATTCTGATGAAACACTTGGTAAATTTTGTTATTCTGTGATGATAATAAATCATTATAGCCTTAAACACTTCTCTAGCTTGGAGCCTCAGCCACAAATTATCTTGTCATTCTGACCAAAACATTCTCCAAAAAAGCTTGACAAGTGCTAAAACCCAGAACATGAAACCATGTGTTGTTGTGAAAGCAAGATTCAGAAATGTCAATTAATTAGATTAAGAGGCTACTTTTAGCTTTACTCGTGTTGCCAAATAACCCTTAAAATACGCATAGCAGTGGAAATCTACCTCCGTGGTACAGTACTTCTGTGCCGAAGGAAGACAATGGATCGGACTAATGGACGGAATTATTGTATCTGTCAGCCTGCTCGAGAGAATGATCTAGAAGCAAATGTCTTGCTTCTTTTTCCACAATGTGGCTTCCCAAGCTGGGTAAATCCTGCCATTTATGAATTCAAGTAGTTCCCTGCACCCCGCCCCTCTGAAATCATCTACAGATCTAGAAGGAAAAGTCAAGCCTTTTTTGTATGCCTTTACTAAGAAGATGGATTTTTAATGTCTTTCTGTGCTTTTTTTTTTTTTAATTTGCATTTGCATTTTGAAGTTCACTTTGTAAAAAAAAAAATATATATACATCATGGAGAAATTATTTAAATGTTTTTTTATCCCTGTTTCTTGAAAATCTTATCTTTAAATAATCTATATCCTCCATTTTATTTATGCCATAAACTGTTCCTATATTTTAATGGTCTGTTTGCTTTAAAAGGGGTTGTTGGTTTTAATAGCTCAGTTACTATCTTTGTAAACTAAACTCCTTCTGACGAAATTCGAGCAGATCATCTCTGCCTGTGTGTGGAAGGCACATTCCAACCCCTGAAAAGGAAATTTAAGCCAAATAAATGTTCTGCCCAAATTAAAATACATAAAATGAATAGTTAAGTTGGACAAGAGCTGATGGACGGAGCAGTTGGGACATGTGGGTGTTGGGAGAGCTGGCTGCCAGGCAGGGCCTCAGGAGAGAAAACCCAAATGAAATTAATTTCCCGACCCCCTTTATCCATTCCTCAGGGCTAATTGATTGCAGTGTTGGCATGATGTCTTCCTTGGGCGAGTAAATGGGGCAGGGCAGGTGGCACTGGGAAGGGTGATGTGAGGTCATTCCCTACAAGGACCTTTGGGGTCCCAGCCCCTGCACCCAGCCATGGCTCAGCACCTTCTCTGCCCCCATCAGCCCTCCTGGGGGGACAGGGGCTGAAAATTCACCTCCATGTTCTCAACGGCAGTTGTGCCCACCTGGATTCTATTATAATCCATGTGGATTCTGACACTAACTTTATGACAGGGCATTTCTGCGGAGGAAGGACACATCTGCTCACACAAAGAAATGGCGGGGGTGGGCGGGGAGGGCAGGATGGAAGACGTCTGAGGCTGAGAGAGGAGTCCCTCCCCTCTTGGCATGCACAACCTTGCCACCCACCGCCCACTGCTACTCCCAGCAGCGAGCGTGAGGAGCCAGAAAGGCATAAAAGGCCAGCGGCTGGGCTGACCCATCCTGCTGGTCCAGGCAAGGTGTGCCCCGGGCCGGGGGCGGGACTTCCTGTGGGCGGGACTTCCTGCGCAGAGCCATTTCCGGCGGGATGTCGTTCTGTGTAGCCCAGGAGGCGGCGGGGCTCCGCGCGGCTCGCCAGGTTCCCGCATCTCGCGGTTCCTGCGGGTCCCCGCACTCGTTGTACTTCCCTCCCCTCTCAGCCAATCTCACTGTTGCTAGCCAGCAATGAGGCAATTAATGAGCTGTACAGAAGCCCTAAGTTATCTCTGGAACTAGATGGGTAATAAACACATAAATAAGTAAATAATTAAATAACTAAATAAAATAAAACGGATGAGTGAGGCATCCAGGGCTCCAGTCTCCCTGGAAGAAGTAGCACTGGGTAGTGGAAACAGCCGGGGGGAAGGGGACGGCCTGAGCTCTAGAAGCAGCTCTGCGGCTGACATGGAGTGTTATCTTGGCCGAGTCGCTCCCCCGGCTCACTGGGCGCCCTCCCACTGAGCCCAACAGCCCCCCGGCTTAATGCGTGCGGGAGTGCAGGGGCCAGACGGAACGCGGGCGTTGGCGCAGCCAGGCGGCAGGTGCTGCCCATACTCCCTCCGCCCCTCCTCTGTCCCTGCCAGGGGCTTCCTACTGCAAGACCCCGGGTCTCTAAGCCGGTGGGAGCCCCGTCTTCCATGCCCCGGGAGCAGTGCTCAGCCAGGTTCAGACGGGAGTCAAGAATCCCCGTCTGCCTGACCCTCAGATGTGACCACTCTTGATTTCCTGGCACAATCCTACAGAGCTTTCCAGCGTGCTCAAGTCCCATTGACCCCGCGGGCAGCCTGCTCCTTAATGCATCTGGAACTGGCTTCCTCTCCTTTCCTGTCTCACCACCCCCTGCCCCCCACCCCCTGGCTTCCACCTGTGCTTTCTGGGACCACCTGTCAACGGACCGGCCTCAACTCAAATTCTGGTCTCAGCCTCCACTTCCCGAGGAGCCTGGCCTACCGGACAAATAGGTGGAGATGGGGACCAACCTGAGAGCTGATGCTCCCCCTGAAATGGGCAGCCACGTGCTGTCACAGAGGAGTGTGGCCTCTAGAGGTCTGTCTAAAATCTCCCAGTTTTCAAAATTTGGCAACGAATTAAAGTTTGGTTTGTTTTGTGTTTAAGTGTGGCTCACACCAGGCAATCTGCAGGTCATACTCAGTCCATAGGCCACATTTGACAACCTCTGCCAGCTAAACATTCTGTGTTCAGTTTAGGTACCAGAGATTCCAGCTTTCTAGAATTTACTTTCTAGTAAATTCTGGTCCACAGCCATATCAGGGTCTAGGAAGTGCAACAGAAAGAACAAAAAGCCTTTGGGCAAAGAAGCCCCCCTCTCTGCAGGGTGCAGGGCCTCCAGCTATACCTTAAGAAGAGAGTAGCCCAGAGCTTCCCAAGGTTAGCGGTGTCCAGGGACACTTCCAGCCCAAGGAAGATGAGACGCTGCCCACCCCGCCTTGTGCCCGCTACCAGGAGAAGCTGCCCCTAGGGGCCAGTGGCAATCCCATAGCTTGTCTTCTCACCAGGCTTATCCCCACTGCCCCCTGGAAAATTGAGATCCTTTATTTAGAGGAGCCACCTCCTGAGGAATCTGAGAACCTCACTGGAGCTCACCACCCCCTTGGCAAAGCTGAGGCTCTAGACATTACTCAAGATACAAAGAGAAACATCTACCAACCTGTAGACAGAGCCATCTGCATCCCAAACTTGAATCCTAAGTGTACGGCTTGAACCTGACCTTGCAACAGAGGAAGGACTGCAGCTTTGGGCCTGGAACCAAGTTGAGGTGAACCTTTGACATCCCCCCCCACCATGCTGAGCAGAATCACAGTTGTTGTCCAGGAAGGACCCAATCCTGGCCACCCAAAGTGCTGGCTCCCACCATGGTGACAGGAAGCTCCTTCCCTTCAAGGTCGCTGAGCAGAACCTATGAGCAGGTCATACCTTGAAGGGAAAACTGCCAAAGCATGAAGCTGAGACAGAGGGGTGGGGGGAGACAGGGAGAGAGAGACAGACAGACAGAGGTAGAAAGAGAGAGTGAGAGAGAGAGAGGGAGAAACTGAGGGAAACAGAGGCGGGGGGAGAGACAGAGATAGAGACAGACAGAGAGGGAGAGAAAAACAGAGATAGAGACAGAGAAACAGAGAGACAGGGAGGGAGAGCTTCCTGGGATATCACTGAAGCACCTATGTCCAGCAGTTGCTGACGCCACTCTGCTCGGACTTCATGTACCTGGGCCACCCTTCCTTTCTTCGCTTGAGATCCTGAACCGATTCTTGCCAACAGCATCTCGACAAGCACTCCTGACCCCCAAGCCTGGGAAGGAAGGGGCGCCCTGTGCATTACAAGTTCCGGAAGGCAGCAGGAGGGACCCACCACCATGGCCCGTGCGTGGACTTCAGGGAGCCCACGGACCCTGTCATTAAGCCAATGAATAGATGTGCCCATAAGCACTTCGCAAGCCCTATGTGGTCGAGAAACTGTGGAAGAAATCCTAGAAAGACTCCCACGTGAGAAACACTGGAATGGATAAAGAAAACATCGATGGGCCCAGTAGTGCTTAATTTCAGGTGATCCAGTGGGTGCTTCTCAGGAGGTGACAGGCTAAGGTCATTGGCCTCAACATCTCTAGGCGTAGCCAGAAGGCAGCCAAGCCACCGGCCTTCCGGTGGTTTCTCACAAAGAGGGGCCGTAGCCTCCCATGCTCTCCTCTCCCTGCCATCTCCAAACTTACCTGACCCTCAAGGTCCAGCCCAGGCCTGCCTCGCCAAAGACAGGCTCTCTGCCAGGGCACCTCATGTTTCAGGGACTGAGCCTTGTAATCCCACTTTGTTTGCTGCCCATCTTCATTCTTACTCGGACGTTTGACATTTATTTGTCACTACTATTTTGTCTGCTTTCTCCAGCTTGGCTCCCAACTCACTCAAGTCCAGCATGGGCCTTGCTCCTGGTGCTGGCCCAGGGCGGGGGCGAGCTGCCCTCTGATCACGTGGGGACGTGAAGGCTCAGCCCCACTGGGAATTGTGCAGGGTCCAAGGAGGCCTTACCAGTGCCCCACCTCATGCCTCAGGCACACAGAAGCTCCTCAGACCTTCTTTCAAGACAAATGGGTCCCCATGTTTAGGAAACCAACCCCTACTACTAAATGGGCCATGGTGCCAAAGTCCCTTACACAGACTGGGTAGTTAGGACTCTCTGGAGGTCTGGACACCCTCCGCTATCTGCTCCCAGAGCCTTCAGGGAGTCCTTGCCCCAGGCCCCCTGTCCTTCCCCTGCCCCACTCTGTCCTAGCCCTGTCTCTCCATGGTAGAGAGAGAGGGGCTAGCTTTCCAGTGGACGCCTCACATCTCCGCCTTGAGTCTATTTAGGGGAACGGGTCCATCTCTTGTACAGCCTTGAGGGACCCCCACCCCCACCCCTGGATCAGATTCCTGCAGGAGTGGGGCTGGAGGGAGTCTAGAGAGCAGAGAAAGCAGCCCAGACCCCCAAGCACATTGTCGTTTGTGATCGTTTTTTCCAGATTATGTGCGGCCTTGTTGATCACGTGAATATTGACAACCTCTGAGAAGGCTATAATAAGAAGCTGGAGAAAGCATTTGAAGGCAGCTTCCATCTGTTCAATGGTCAGCCCTCGAGGAGTGCAGAGAAGGCAGAGGAGGGGGCTGCTTTCATATGCTCGTCCTCCCCTTCCCCACCCCTCAGGCCTGGGCCCACCCCGTGGCTCAGTTACCCCCCTGCCCTGGGAGAATCTGGGGTGTCGGGCAGCCCGTGATGAAGCTGCAGGCCCCTAAGCCTAGACACGCAGTCCCTGACTGAAACTCACCGGCCCCAGGTCAAACTCCTTCCAGAACCATAGCCCCCTTGGCGGTAAGGGATTGAGTGGGGGGGAAGCAGGCGACTGGGTTTATGCTCAGCCTGCCTTTCTAGTGTTTCTGCAAACAGGAGCCTGGCTGACTTTCCTGAGAGTGACAGTGTGCCCGGGGAAGGCGGCACCTTACACATAGCTCCCACAGCAACCCCCCAGCCGGCCTCCCTCCCCGGATGGCGAGGGTGAAAACCACGTGGGAGAAGGTCTTTGCTTCTTTGGGGGTGCCCAAACAGCAGGACGCCCCCTTATCTCAGCTGGGGGCCTCGAGCCACATCCCTGGCTCGGGAGGTGGCCAATCCCAGCAACTGCATCCACGTGCCACTTCACCACGGAGAGGGGACAGCCGCACGGACCTCGGTTGGACAAGCACAGCGCCTTGGGCCTGGGGCTCGGCCTTCCCCGGGAGGGGGCCAAGGGCTGCGGACGGGCCGGGCTGGGCGAGGACCGCGCCACATGCGTCCCCAGCCCAGCCACGCCGCCTCGGCCGCCGCCTCGCGGGTCCCCTCGCCAGCGGGCAAGCCTCCCTTCTCTCCCCCCGGCCACATCGACTTCCTTCTGAGGGCTGTCACTGCAGCCCTTCAAACCCATTTGACTGGGTTGGGGCACATGACACTGTCACCAACTCAGTTTTCATTAGGCGGCTGCTTCTCTGTTAGCCTAGCCAAGCAGAAGAACTCAAACACATGCACAAATTAAATCGACATCCAAACTCCACCAATATACAAAGCAATTTAAATGATATTCATTAGAGCGATGACAAGCCCTGATGAGGCTTTCAGGAGCCGGGTCCTTCAGCTTTTGCCGACTCGGTTTCATGGTCACTGAGGCGGAACTCCCGAGACTGTACCTCCTTTTTTTTTTTTTTTAAGCTGAGAAAATGACTCCTTCCTGACACACCTACCTCATTCTCTCTCTTCTCTCTCTCTCTTCCTCCCCGCTCTGTCGCCGTTTGGCCGGCCCTGGCTTCCGGACCCAGGTATCGTCCTGAACCGGGGAGCCACATAAAGGAAAAAGGCAGCCAGTCTGACTTCTTTTTTCCATAAATGCTCCAATTAAAACAGATTTCAGTTTCTCGTAATTTCATTTCACTTGGCCTGGGAGATCTCTAACTCATAATTATGACGGTCGTAAATGTGTCCCTGGAATCCTGCGGTGGGAAGAAAAAAAAAAAAAAGTAATGGAAGTGAGATGTTGAAACGTACTAATTTTTAAAATGTAAACCCCCCCTAAATTTAAAAGTCGTTTCCAAAGTCTTATTTATATATTTTAAATTTTAAAGAGAGAGCAGGATGGACCCCCGCTCCCCCACCCCCACTGCGGCTACCTGGGACTACAGCAGAGGAGCTGGGTTCCCGGTGGGGTCACGGGACTCGGGGTCCTCATGCGTGGGGGCTAGGAGCCGGGCCAGGCTCCCAGCCATGTCTGAGTCCCCAAGCCCCAGAGAAGGATTCAAGTCCACTTGGGCAAAGAGAGCAGCGCAAGGACTGCGCGGGATTGTTCGCCAGCTAAGGGCAGAGCAAGGTCACGGCCACATCCATCAGATCTCTGGGCTTCGGAGTTTGCAGCCCAGATAATATCCACAGCAGGGGGGATGATCAGCAACTTCATACACTGATGCCTGCACTTCTGTTTATAATTTTATGCTCAAGGTTAATTATGTGTGTCCTTGGCTTTGATCAGAGATATTAGCACGTGAGAATGTTGCCTGCGCCCATATTGGCAAAGGAAGGATTCTTAGAAATACCCAGGACTGGAGGCACACTTTCATCTTCAAGCCATGAGCTCTTTCCTACTTGGGAAAAACAGCACTGTCCAAACCAACTTTCTGTGAGGACAGGAGCGTTCCGTATCCGGGCTGCCCCCCCAAAGTGTAACCACTAGCCACATGTGGCTACTGAGTGCTTGGAATGTGGCTGGTATGACTGAAGAACTCAGCTTTTCATTGTATTCAACTTAAATTTGAGTAGGGCTGGTGGCTCCCATATTGCACAGCACGGGTTAGACAGTAAAGAAGAGGGTATCCTAACGCCTGAGTGGCTAATTGTGGACGTTAATCTCTGGAAAGAGGTCACCTTGCTTATCATCATTATCATCAGGAATGATTTATTAAGGATATATTAGTGTATGACATTATATAAAGGTGGTGGAGAAGCAGTTCCTCTGATCTTCTATCATTGGGACTTAATTTTGAAAACACCTGGCTCTTTGGACCAGGGGTAGGGCCCGGAGCCCCGAATGCGGAGCCTCAAGAAGCCACTAACTTTGCTTCAGATCACTCCTGATGTCCAAAGCTGTGGCCTGACCGAGTCACCATCTGTCTGTCCGGACATCATGGACCGTCAGGCCACGGACCGACAATTTGGCCCATCCGTTGTCTTGGCAGGGCAGGGAACACGGTCCCAAATCAAAGGTGCTTTGGGATGAACTGCCAAAGCCCACCCAGGACAGGGTTTGCTTGCCTTTTAAATCGTCCTGGGGATGGCCTCCTGGCAAATCCTTGGGGAGAGAAAAATGGTGTCTCTAAGTCCAGCAGCATCTCCCTCCGGCTTGGAGAAACCCAATGGAGTGCGAGGAAAATCAAGCACGTCCCTGGAAACAAAACCCTGTGGTGGACCGCTCCTCCACACTGACATGGGGCGTCCGGCCCTCGGCTGCCACAACGTTGCCACACCACGCACGCGAAGGTGGGGCTTGTCGGAAAGGAGCTTTTCTTCCCAGAAGCTTTATGCTGAGAGACAGAGCTGAAGCCTTCCCCAAAGGAGTGAGATTGTTCCCGAAGCTAACTATAGCATATTTTGCAAAGGCCAGCGCGCCCTGGAATTGCGTGGGCACACAGGCACGAGTACCTTTTCCGTGGCTCCGGAGGTCAGCTGCAGGCTGAAAGGCATCGACTGGCACGGGGTCCCACGGGAAATGCATTTTCAGGTTTCCTTTTGCCAAAGATTACACGTGCTTACTAATAAATCCCTAGGGAGAAAAAAGGTTAGTGTTTCTATTACCAAAAGAATAACTATCTGGCAGAGTAAAAATGGTAATTTCTCCATTAGCTAAAAGGATAATAGCTATTATTTTAAAGTTAAAGTATTTATTATTAAAGAGTGGCGCTGGGGTTCGTGTGTTTTCATTTTTATGATTGCTTCCTATAATACAAAGCGTATTGTTTTTGTGCTAAATAGTCAACAGAATAAAATGCCATTGCAATTTTCCAATTTCAAAAGAACTTCACAGATGAATTTGAAAAAATAAAATCATTTATTTATTTATTTTTCTTTCTTTCCTATTCGATGACTTAGAAATCTCTGGAGACAACAGTTTTAACACCGGATTTGCAAAATGCAGCCTTGCTTCCCATCAGCTCCCGTCCTTCTCCACTGTCAGGGTTCTGCTCTCAAGAAGGTGCTCAGCTCTCCCCAGCACTGGGAATAGGTAATAGGGCCCCCTTCCTCTGCAGTATTTTTTGGTCACCAGGCCTTGTGGCACGGTCGGTGGTCAGGGGTTGGGGGCAGGGAAGTCGACCTAGCTGGAGTGGTCTGAACTTGAGAAAAGGAATCAGGACCACAGCCCTGAATTCTGCTGGGGAGGTTCACACTTCCACCTGAGCAGAACACCCTGGGGAGAGGCGCCTCTTTGGTGGCTATCAATATATATATATATATATATATATATATATATATTTTTTTTTTTTTTTTTTTTTTTTTTTTTTTTTTTCCTTTTGCAGAATGAAAATAGAACGGAGATGCCAGGGAGATCTGGGTCCTCATCATAACCAACCCTCTCTAACTATGTACGATTTTGGTTAATTATAGAATTCTTGCTGCCTAAAACTTAAAGATACATCACTGATATTTTTGCTAAATGTTGACTGCAGCGAATAGCTAAGATGTGGCATATTGATTTCTTGTTGTGAAGTGAGCTGTTCAAGCTCCATTTAAGATTTTCATCTTGCATGTAGCCCTGAGCACATCATAGCACCATAAATTAGTTAAATTGCACATTTATCACAAATGTTATTTTAAGATACTGTGTAAATGTGATGGCTGGAAGATATACAGTAGGACTGCAACAAGCCTGGGCTTGGGCGGGGTGAGGTCGGGGTCACCTACACACCTGTGATTAAAACCTCCCTCACTTGGCACCGTCCCTCCTCCTCCCAGGGCCCGTTTAAAGACCTGACTGGGAGGCCCCATCCCTTCCCATACTCGCATCCTCTACCAGCACCAGCCTCAGGAGAACCAGTGCACAACTACGGGAGATTCAGCATGCCGCTTTAGATCTGCCCGTTTTATCTCCAGACAATCGGGGTCATTCTGGGCTGGGAATGGAAGGCTCTTCCGGGCAGTGGCCCACTCTCTGGCCACGAGAGGGTGCGGTGACCTCCAGAGTAAATGGCCGTACGTTTCCAAATGGGGTGAGGCCCTAGCCAGTCATACTCACCTCCTCCCAGGACGCACGGTCTGGGGGACTGTCCCTAGGCCAAATTAGGTTTGTGTTCATGACTAGGGCCTTCAACTCCCCGGCTGACTGTGTTTCTTCCTGAGGTAACACTAATTCCTGGGCCCCGTTCCTGCGAGCATCCTTTTCAGGTGCCGAGCTCCAGGTGCCCAACGGGCGAGATCACCTGGTACCCGCCTTGGCTCTAAACCCTCACTTCCACACCCAAAGTGAGAAAGCCTGAAGATAATCCTGGGGTGGGGTGAGGAAGAGATGGGCAGAGTATTGGGTTCTTCTCCCAAACTGTAAAGTGCGGGGGGGGGGGCGGGCACCCTCACTCGCACAAATCCTATCTCCCTTCAAGCCACATGGGCCTGGTGGTGATGGAAGTGTTGTCAGTTTAATCTGTTAGACGCAGGACTTTGGATTCTAATAAACCGATGCTATATTTAACCTGTGAAAAATTCAAGAGTGGAAATCTGGGCTCCAGGATGTGAAGATGCGGGAGGCACGGGAGGGAGGGTGCTGTCCCCTGAGCCAGGTTCCAGGGGGAGCTGGCCCCCCACCCCGCCCCCGGGAGGAATGCATTGTGTGCCACACTCCTCCCAGGTAAAGGCCCACGGGGCACACCACTACTCAGAGAGGGACCAGGCCCGTGGAGGAGCCGGGGAAGGAGCCAGGCCCGCCGCCCAGAAGGGAAAGCCCGCTGCGCCCCGCCTGCAGACGCAGCGCAATTGTGTGGCTAGATCACCAGGCACGAGCAGAGCCAGCACGGTGCTCCCGATTTGCCAAAAACCCGTCTGAAACTCTAGTGAGGGTCTCTCTAAAAACTCGCAGAGACATGGATTGCCGAGAGAAAAGTAGAGCAGACAGAAATTTGGGATTCATCTTGACAAAAGGGGCAGGGATGAAACGGGAAGAAACGTAGGCGTGTTGCCGAACATCTCTGAAAGGGTTTAATTTAAATTTTTAATAAAAGAGTATTTTTTTTTTTAAGTTGAGGTGTTTCATGTATTATGTGGATGTAATACATCTCTCATTTGTATAATTCTAGGTTAGGAGCTCTGATTCTGCATAACTGCGAGAGTAGTTTGAATGTAGTAATAAAGGTATTTTACAATTTTACATGATGTTCCCAGCGTTTTGTTGGCATGATTTGCCAGGGCTAATAAAAGCTTGTGATTATCATATAAATGCTCTCCCCACTCCTCCCGTGTGTGGGTTCAGTCCCACCCCCACCCCCGACTCCCCACCGCCACCCTGCACCTCCTTATCTGGGCACAGCAGAGAGCAAGTTCTGGTCCCAGAGTCCACCTTCCCGGCGTGGCTCTGTTTCCTGCTCCGTGAAAAGCCCGAATCCACAGGAAGGAACCGCCCTGCACCGAGTCTGAGTCTTCCCCACACCTGCCTCCTGCAGGGCTCAGGGCCCTGACTCCTCACGCACGTCCCGGAGGGAGACCAAACCCCTGGCCCCCAAGCGCGCGGGTCGCCAGGGGTGTGACCCGAAGCTCCGCTCCCGAATAAGTTTCTAACACCGCCTTCGCAGAGAGAAGCCAACCTCACGCGAAAGTCTTCCTTTCTCTAACGTTCTCTTCTCAGGGAAAATTCTGTCCACGCAGGCTCTGCAAAGGGGGCTCCCTGCTCTCCAGACACCAAAGTTCACTAAAACTCCCCTGATTTACGGGCAGCTTCCGACTGCCAGCACCTGGCAGACACAGCAACCGACTCAGTCATAAACAGATCGCATACAATTTAATTTTAATGTGCTCGTTAGTCGTAGCACATTTCAGACAGAATTGTGAACGCAACACAAAATTATAGCAAAAAGACAATTTTAATGCTGCCGTAGAAAAAAGGGTTATATGAAGAGTCACATAATGGTGGTTCATTGTCAACAACAAAACAGGGCACAGAGTATGTTACAGTGTCTGTGCTGTTTACATGCCAATATTTTATACATAGGTTCTCATATGGTGTCAGCTGTCAGTTACTTCTGCAAATTAACTGCCAAAAATGGAGAAGAACAGAATCACTTGGAGAGCCGGTAACCACGGGTTACCTTTCATAAGCCTAAAGATAAAGCTGCAGTGTGGGATCTTGGGAGAATAATTAGGAAGAACAAAACAGAAAGTTACCAATCGAAATAAAAAGGCATCCTACAGTATGGAATAGCAACCAAGAGGGCTTATAAATAAGTGAAAGAGGTTGTATGACAGAATGCCTCATGACTTTTAAGCAAAGTATTACAGTACAAACATTTTAAAGGCTTTATCAATGCTTAGGAGATACAGTACGACTTCTTTTTGTTGCTGTTGCTCTTTTTTTTTTTTTTCCTTTTCAAATAGACTTAACCCTTTGAGCACTGAGTTTATTTTGCGCGTTCTTTGACTTCTAATAAATACCTTTAAAAATCATGTGCAAAATAGTTATGATGCCCGCCATGGATGTCTGTTTCCTGGCCTCGCGTATTCAGGCTGCTCAAAACAAATGATAATATGATGCTAATAAATATGTATAATTTAAACATGAACCTCTATCAATATAGATGTACTGTATAGCAAAACAAACAATCATACTTTGCTTTCAGATAATGTTTCTGTATACTTTATAAATGCTATCTGTGGTATCTTCTGTATAATTTACAATGTTTGCATGTAAAAAAAAAATAAACAAACAAACCCATAGACCTTAAAAAAAAAAAAAAGAAAGAAAAGAAAAGAAAAGAAAAAAGAAATATACACTATACATAGGCACGGCTTATGCCCGGAGCATGGCAGGTACATAAAACACTGTTGCTATAAATGCAGAAAAAAGGTCATTTAAACCACAATCACATTTTTCATAAGAGAGTCTGAAATCTATACAATATATACATCTATGTTTCAATGTGAAAATAATATTCTTTTAAATTTCAAGGCGTGTTATACCCCTGCAGACCTGCATAAATGGAGGTTCATATTATTAGTTTTAACTAAGCTGGTAAGGAGTTTAAAAAACAGAGCTTCATACATTATTATTATTTTATTTTATTTTTTAACCAAATTAATGCAAAAGTGCTTCAAAGTACTCAGAGGGCTAAAGATGAAAGGGTGAGAAATGCCAGCGCACTCGAGCCGCGTGGAAAAAGTGTGCCCGATTTCGTTATAAATGCTTAATTAAACTGTCTGTTAAATGCATGCAGCTTGAAGCATCGGGGGGATGCTCACAACTAAATCCCATTTACACAAAGTTCCAAACACTTAACCACTGCGTTTTAACCTTCATATTTTACCAGTAACAACAGCTGATTATGCACCTCTATTAAACACTGTACAGTTCTACAAAACAGTCCAGCCCAGAGTGATTCTCCGCAGTTAAAATAAGAACATGTGCCAAGAACAAGACAGAGGGGCCTTAAGGTGCCTGCAACAGTTTCCCTCAAAGCAAATTACGGTCATTTTAATCGAAAGCGAATGCTACTGCTTCTCTAACTCAGAAACATACAGAAGGTGGTCTTCTGGGGACTTCCCGTGTGTTTTGCTAAGGTGAAGCTTAAC